CCTCTTTCATCGGTAGACGGTGAACAACAATATCGCTATCGAGCCCTGGAATATCTTCGTACGACCAAGCCAAGATCAAAACATATGAATAAACCTATTCTTCACACTGCCCCCTAAGTCTTGCAAGTTCCCCAGGTATTTCGCAATCTTCCTCACCTTCGTCCTCGGCTTGGTAGATCAGATTTTCAAAGTCATAAGTGGCAATAGAAGAGTCGTTATCAACGAGATCCATAGTGGATGTAGATCTGAAATTTATTGTGTGGGTGTGCATAAGAACAAATAGCTATTTGAAAATGGTAAAATTAAAAAAAAAGATAGAGAGCGCAAAATTTGAATGCAAATCGTCCAATGCTTTTATTAAATGAACATATTTTTATGAAATGAGAACACTTAACAAACGAACCATTGTGCCCCGAGTAAGGCACGAGGCTTAAATTCATTGTTCAAAAATGACAAAGACAAGAACCTAAAAGCAATAAAAACATAAATGTAGCTATTACTCATGACTAAAGGAGATAGAGATAATGTCTTTCGTCTTCCAGTTGCTGAGCCATTTTCCAATGGTAGGAAAGATCCAGCGCTCAAGGTCGTAATCACTGTTAGCATCTTCTATAATGTTGAATCCATTGTTGCTAACACGGAATGATGGTCTTCTAGCGTGAGCATGGCGAACAACCCTTTGACACTCTATAGTGAAACCCAAACCAAATTTGTCATATTTATAGAGAATTTCAGGATGTTGACCCCAAATAGTACAACCACCTTCTTCTACAATAGCTTTAGCATCTTTCATGGAAGCTATTATGGGCGGAACCCTGGTAACCTTGGGAATGGCAGAGACGTCTTCAGTTGAGGCGGGAGGGATGACTTCAAAAGTCTGACAGGGGGTCTCAATGAACTCGCCGTCCATCTCTATATACCGGAAAGAGTTCAAGTGACTAACCATATACTCTTCTTCGTTGTAGACAGTAATAAACGTTTTGTTCAAAGGATACATTAACTTCTGGTGTAAGGTTGAGGTGATAATGCCTGCCCCATGGATCCAAGGTCGTCCGAGTAAACAAGAATACGCTGGTCGGATATCTATTACATAGAATGTAGATTCAAAGATCTACGAACCTACCTTGATCGAAAGATCCACTTCTCCGTGCACCATCCTCTTTGACCCGTCAAAAGCTCGAACTGTAATATCACTTGGTTTCAGTATAACTCCTTTGCAATCCAGTCTATCAAGAGCGCCATTTGGTAGCACATTTAATGAGGAACCGGTATCAACCAATACATGAGCCAAAGTAGTTCCACTACACTCAATGAAGACATACAAGGCTTTATTGTGATTTCTTCCTTCCAGGGTCAGATCAGCCTCAGAAACCTAATCCATTGTCAGTCTTTAAGCTAGCAACATAACTTCCAAATTGATCGGCAGAGACCTCTTGTAGCACATGAGAAGTCTTCAAGAATTTCACCAAAGCTTGCGCATGGGCTTCAGAATAGTAATAGGGATAACATGGAGATCTTAGATTTGGTTTTCCCTAGCTATTCAACAATCTTGTAATCGCTCTTGCAGATGATTTTAATTACCTTTTCCAACTCTTTCCTAGAGGTGTCTTCAGCTGTAACTTCTTTAGCCACCTCCGTATGGGTAGGCTTCGTGATTTAATCTTTGCTCCGAGCCTCAGCAGTTGACTAGGTAGTAGTAACTCTAACAGGTGTAGCGATGGTCTTTGGAGAGGTTTCTGGGGAGAAAAACCTTCTGCTTCTAGTAACCTTACTGGTCCCAGTAATATTATCAATGTCGAGATCAGCAACTTCAGTAACTTCATCTTCAACAGTCGGTAGTTCTTACATGACGCGATGGTAGTATACCTCTGATCCATAGTTCCATGCGTAGCGGTAGAAATTTTGAGACTAAGCCTTTGGATTTACTTAAATCACATAGATCAAATAAAAATCGCCACCATGCTTTATTGTTTTCAGAGGAATGGGAAAAGAGATAATAACCTAAAAGACGGGAAGAGAATCTAAGTTCGGGGGTTGGTTATGAAAAGGGAAAGTATTAGCACCCTAAACATCTATGGTACTCCGCATGAACCTCTTTGAAAATTTGTGTATTTTGGCTATAAGAGTTGTATACAAAAATATATGATGCATATGAGAAAAGAAATATTTTTTTACAATTTTCCACTTGCCGCAGTTCTGAACCTTTAGTGCCTACGTACAACCTTCCGTGCAATAGGGGGTCAGTGTACTCGTAGTTCACATTTTAAAAATTTAAAACACAAGTGTGTTGGTTGATTTTAAAAGACGAGACATCATCGTCTTATACGAGTGGAAGAACATACTTACTACCCACGATTATGAGAAAGGAGAATTCACATCATCTCAAAGTGGAGGATATGGGTTGGATTTTAAAATCAACAAAGCCTCGCTCAACACCCAAGTGGAAAATATGTCACTTCACTATATATCGTAGAAGTATAGTATCTCGCATCACTACAAGGGTTGACAAGAATCTAATATTTTGAGAAAATTTTAAGTAAAAAGCCAAAGTGGAAAAATAGTTCGAATGCGATTAATTGACTTTTCGTCTTCTCACAAAAATGTAAAAGTATTGTTAAGTTGTTTAAAATTTAATCAAGAAATATCTTTGAAAATTCATGGACCCAAGTCCATGTTTATTGTGAAAGTGGTTCAAGTTTAAAAAAACAAGAACAATTTTGAAGAGGAAGGAGAAGATTTTTGAAATTAAAGAAGGTGGGAGGAGATGAAGGGACTATCCTAAAGCATACGGAAAAATCTAGGGAAAAGAACCGTCTAACCAACAAGAATCCAACACTTTACACAAAGAGTCAATGTAGAATTATCAGCCTTTGGATTAAAACCAGGCAAGTAAAGATATTAAACCTCTTAAGAATACCAAGCTTTAGATGCGTTAAGTCTTCTAAAAAATTTGGGTAGAGTAACAACTGTATACAGAGGAATTCCCAATCACAAATAAAGCATATAATCAGGAGAACCTGCATACAAAGAAAAACAACCCAAAGTCTTGGGGTAAACCCCAATAACTCCAAACAAAATAAACATTAGAGTCACATGGTCCAAAGGATTCAAGGCTTCTAATCGTAAGTCCGAGAGTTTCACAATCTCCATAATGCCAAGGATAATAACCAAATAGTCCGAGTAACCTTAAGGCTTTTTATTGTTCAAGTTGGTTATTAAGTATCTTCAAAAATAAAATGAAAACTCAAGCGAGCAAAGTAAAAATGACATGAAGATAAACGGTTAAATGAGCAAAGATGAAAATAGCATGAAATGTAAATGTTAAAAATAAATGGTAAATAAAGGCATAAAGTAAAAGCATAAAATAAAAGCGCAAAGTAAAAGTCAATGGTTAGTAAATTATAAATTAGAAGATTGGTAAAATCAAAGCTTCCCAACAACGAGTTTCATTTGTTTTTTGTCAAGTATATCATTCATTTCAAGTTCTCGAGGCGATAACATATGATCAACGATGTTTAAACGAATCACATAGACCAAAGTTTATGATGATTCATTACAGGATTGAAAAGACCAAATCCTCCTAACAATGAACCTCAAGGTTATTGGATCAAAGTTTCAAATTAAACATCCCTGGGCTTCCAAACGTAGGTTTGGGCCACAAATGATCATTTCTCGATTCGGGACAAAATTTAGCATTATGCTAAGCAATCTTAAGTGGACTTATGTAGAAGTCGCACCTATTTTGAGGCTGGTCAATAGCAATCTATGTACCATATGTTTAGAGAAATGATATATAGATCATTATCCAACAACAAGTAGTACAATTAAGAATAAGAAAGAGAGAAGATGAACAAAAATTAAATTCCACATTTGAATAAAAGATTTTAATCAAGCTATCATTAAAATAATTCATCCATTTTGGTGAGTTAAACTCAACACCCAAGATCTAATGATGTTAACAAAGCTCATGATTAAAATTCACATAGTTCAAGATCAGCCAAAATATATAAAAAAAAAATTGCATTTGATAAGCAAGATAGAATGAGAAAATTATTTTTAAATTATTTTTAAAATAGAAGTAAAAGGCAAAATAGCTAACTATATTCAAAATATCAAAGTAAAATTAAAACAGAACATATAAAAGTCAGAAATGATCTCAAATATTTTTACAAAATATTTGGTAATTTTTGAAAACAGAAAAATATTTTTAAGCTAATTAAAATCACTCAAATAAGTGAAAAATAATTAAAATTAGCAAAAATAAAAATAAAATTCCAGAAAAAATACACTAAGTCAGAAATTAGATAAATGCATTTTGTTAATTTTTTCAGGATTTTTGAGCGAAAAATGAATTTATTGTGATTTTTTAGAAGTTAAAGTGAAATAAAATAGTTAAAAAAAATTAAAATAGAGAAAATTGTAGCCATCCTATATGGTCTACTCCAGTGTAGTAATCAACTCCAAAGGACCATATTTATAGGCCTATGATTATGCTGTGTACACACGCACATGAAATCAAAAATATTCATCCTCTTCTCAGATGAGGACAAGTGTCCTCCAATGGATGGCCACGCGCATCCCTATGCAGAGAGGGGAAAGAACATTGAAATTTACGAGTAAAATTTAATGTTGTTATGTTACCAACAACAACTTTTCATTTTAATCTTTCTAAAAATAAACGGTATCCCTCTCCCTCTTCTCATATTATCAACATCTACCTTTTTTTTATAAAACAAAACAAGAGAGATAGAGAGAAAGATGCATGAAAGAAAGAGAAAGAGGGAGGAGAAGATAAGGAGTCACGGCGGAGACCGGACCGGCAGCGGCGCCGTCGTAGGTACATCCTTTTTTCATTGTTTTTAGTTTCCAAATCGTTTCCCTCTTCTCATTCTCAATATTAAATTTGTTTTCAAAATAGCTAATCAAAATGAGTAGATCTTCAAAAGAATTTTCTGAATTTTTTGTCCAAAACAAGAGACAAACAACACATAATCCAGAAAATGAAGTTGGATTCGGTTTTAATCGAAAGGGAACAACCTTTTAGAAGAAGAGAGAACGAAAAATGGCGGAGTATTGGGTATTTTCGATCAGGGAGAACGGCGGCTTTGGAGGTGTCGCGACGGATTGCAGCTCAGGCGAGGGATTCCATTCAGGGAGCTCGATTTCCCGGCAAGGTAAGGATTTCTACTTTTTTGCTCTGAACCCCGCTTTTGTGTTCATTCAAAAATCATGGATTTATACTGCTTAGGTCTAGGGTTTTTGTATGAACAAACAAAGGGCATTATTGTGAATGAACTGGATTCTAGTTTTTTGTTGAAAAGTTTGTTCAAAAATGAGATTTGGGCTTGAGATTGTAGTTGAAAAATTTTGTTTTGGATTTGTGAATATTTGCTAATACACTTCTCATTTTCTATTTTTATTGTTTATTTTTGTAATTGTTTGAGACATGGAATAAGTTGTTTGGATAACCATCAATAAAGTTGTGGCCTAAAGTGTCGAGGATGAAGAGACCGAACCAAAGTCATTACAAGGAGCTAGGAAGGAACAAACATGAAATCAAGAACTTGAAGAATGGTTGAAGATGGTATAGATTGAAGTTAGGCATAGGAACAATGGATCTCTTGTAACATTTTTTATTTGAGCTTGTAATTTGAACTTTGAGTATTTTGAATTGTGCTTGTAATTAAACTTGGAGATTGTCTTGAAGATGATTTATGAAACTTGAATCATGATGTAACTTTATGAAAAGAAAGACTTTCTTGTAGTAATAAAAGCTTGAATGAATCATGTATGGAACTTGAATGAACTTGATTTTTATGTATAACTTTTAATCTTAAATGAGAATGGATATTGTTGCTTGCATGAAGAATTTTGGATTCATGAGAATGATTTTGAAATTAGACACCCGAAAAATTAATAATGTTGCTTGAATTTGTTGACTTGAAATTCTCTTGTAACTTAATGGCATCACTTAAGAATCTTGAAATTCTCTTGTAACTTAATGGCATCACTTAAGAATCTTGAAGCTTGGAATGAAAAGTGATTGACATCTTTGATGAATGTCTTAAATTTCAAGGAACGCGAATCTCCATATTTTGCATTTTAATTAATTCTAAAGATCAAGATGTACATTTATCCCTTTGAATTCAAAATGATCCACATGGGTGGTCTTAAATGGAATTGATGAGATTGAATCATTTGATCTTAGAAAACTTGGATTTGAAATAGATACTTGAAATTGAGACGACTTGAATTTTCCTTTAACTTGTAAATTCCAAACTCATGAAAGTGAGAATTCCCTCTATCTTTTGAATTTTTGGGCTTTTGACATAAAGTCTTTATATTTCAAGTAACACAAAATTCAAAATAAATGAATCTTCTATACTTGAAACAATTAAACTTAGGAATCGGTCTTTGAGAACATCACCAACCAAAAATTCCAATAAACCATAAATTTAATAAATAACCTAAATTACGTTTGAAAAAATTGGCGAGATCTCCATCCATAGCAAAAAATACTCTAACTTGGTGCCCAAACCTCAAACGCGAGAAATCAACATCTAAAGAAAGTAGCCATGGCATTAATTGAAATTAGAGGTTATGAACGTACTAAGTCAAAAAATAACGTGTAACATTTCAATAAATTTCATGGCTTTTCGAACACAATCCGCTCCCACTCCTTGAAACAAACTTGTAGATAACATATTGAAGATTATCATGCAAAAAGAATCATCCCAAAATATTGAGAATTGAAATAATTATGATCCTCGGAAGTTGGGCAACAGTCACTTGAAAATAAATCAAAGTTCCCAATGTGATCTATAATATACTCAGACTTTTGATGCATATCTACATATAATTAGATCTCGACTTGTAAAGTGAAGTTGGAGATGACATCAAGGAGATTCATATGCTCGAAGAATCAACCAAAAATAATGAATGATTAAGAATTTATGATTATTTGAGCTCGAACTTGCCATAACTTGAGATGACTCATCGAAGAAGGCAGGGAAATAAACACATGAACCTATCTCGAAGAGTCTTGAGAATTAAGCCATTAAACTCGCTTTAACAATGTTGAAGGAAGCTTTAGGATAGTGTGACCTAAGATTATAGAACACAACTCTGAAACATTGGCTTTTGGGAACAATTTTTGGCCTGAACAAACCACAACCATAATCGGATAACCAACACCTGAATTTCCTTATCGCAACCCTGTCTTACAAGAAACAAAATAAACAAAAATATATTTTTGGATTTTTGTTAGAGGTCAGTAAAATATAAAATACATATACACAATACGCAAAATCAGGGTGCTCATTGATCCCTAAGAGACAAACTTAAATATAAGAAATAGTAGAAGTGAAAACCAAACCCTAATGCGTGATCTTGTTGCATTATGATGGTATGAGATGCTGGAGGAATCTTAGGGGCAAAAATTGAGGTATAACAACTTTCCTTATTTAAGTGTCTTATATGCGGAGATACGAAGGTCAAAATCTTCGTGTCGACACGATTGGAGATTTTTAAATATAAAACAAACCCTATTTTTGGCCCTAAGATGCCATGCAATGCTTATGTAGAAGATCAAAAAGATACCGACTCAGAGATGACAGTAATGTACCAACTCAATGGTTGAAGGTAGAAGATGAAAAGATACCGACTCACAGATGACGGTAAGCTATAAATTCAATGGTTAAAGGTAGAAGATCAAAAGATACCGACTCACAGATGATTGTAAACTACCAACTCAATGGTTAAAGGTAGAAGATTAATAATATACTAACTCACAGATGACGGTAAACTACAAACTCAATGGTTAAAGGTAGAATATCAAAAGATAGTGACTCACAAATGAAGGTAAGCTACCAACTCAATAGTTAGAGGTAGAATATCAAAAAGATACCGACTTACAGATGACAGTAAACTACCAACTCAATAGTTGAAGATAGAAGATCAAAAAGATACTGATTCACAGATGACAGTAAGATACCTACTCAATAGTCGAAGGTAGAAAATCAAAAAGATATCGACTCACATATGATGGTAAACTACCTACTCAATAGTTGAAGGTAGAAGACAAAGGATACACCATGTTTTACTGAAGGTAAACTATGAACTTTCACTGAAGGTAGATATCAAAGGATACACCAACTTTTACTGTAGGTGAACTACCAACTTCTATTGAAGGTAGAAAAAATGGAGAAAAAAATCAACTTTTACTAAAGGTGAACTACCAACTTTCACCGAAGATAGAAAAAACGTGTTAATAATAACAAGTTTCCCAAAATGCTGGCGTTTCACCTAGAACTGGTCTCAACTTCTTCTTTAACCAAGGCATTCCACCTGGAAAGGATAAAATACAAATTGTCTCAAATAAAGAGACTGCCACTTGCATTGATTTCACAACAAACTATCTCTGTGAGACTCCTACGAGGAGATTCCATTTAAAGGAAAATTAGATAAACTTTCCCTCGATCTTGGCCATAACCCACGAACTGGTCTCATTTTCTTCTTTAATCAAGTCTTATACTTGAAAAGGGTAACAATCTGTTGTAAAGATCTTTCAACAAACTATCTTTATCAAATTGAAAAGACTTGCCATCCATTGGAGTCTTTAAAAACAATCTTCTCTGAGAACTAACAAACTTATTGGGGGAAGTACAAGTGGCTCAAGTAAAGAGACCTGCCACTTGCTGTTATACGAAGCATGTTGGGTAAAGAATCTTAACTTCTCTGGGAAGATACCAGTACATTCCTACTGAGGAGATAAAGTATTCTCGTGCAAAATAAATGCACATTCTCAGTCCAGGGTTCAAAGCTTGCATAAATCATAATAATAATAATAATATTGTCGGGGATCATAGATTCAAACCAGAAATAAACCAGGGTGAAACAATCAACCAAGATATCACCTAATGAGGACTAAGCTCAAATGGGGTCACGTTCCATCCAGATAATGAGCTGAATAGGAAGGCTAAAGCAAAATTCTTCCACGAGGGGTAACTCAGTGGAGAAATTGAAAGGATATACACCTTCTGCTTAAGGTTAACAATCTATTGGAGAGAGGTTAACATGATTATACAAATAGGGTAATATTCCAACAAAAAATTAATGAATGCAAATGAGCAATGAATTTTAATTCAGCTATGCATGATGTATGTATGAATGTTATCATGTATATGCTGACAAAACAGACATACAACATTGGGAATAACCAGACAAAACCAACTTGGGTAAATTCAACACGCGACTAAATCACATCGAAGATTAAGATTCCATAAGAGAGTAAGCACCAACTGAGCAAATAAAGTCCTACTTCATGGCTTGACTCCACTGGGAAGAGGCATGGTTTGAAAAATCATAACATTATCTAATAGCAATAAACTAATACAAATGCAAGGATATATCACCCTCATCCCGGCTTCACCGAGGAATATCACACATACATAAATGGGGAAAATAAATTTTCATCGTCTAGATTTCCACAAGAGATGATAATGCTGACTTCGGTAGGGAAGTTGAAAACCACATCGTCGAGATTTGAACTGGGATCTCGTGCTAACCACATTTGGAAGGACAACACCACATCATCGAGGGAAGCCCAAATACATTCTTCAATATCAAGAATAATGGTTGCGTAAACTTCTTTGGGGAGAAATTATGAAACTTCCCGAGGTTAATAACCTTCAGAGAAAAGCATCAGCTCGGCCTCATTTTAGGATCTAAGAAGTTTAATAACATAGCAAGAAATCAAAATTATAGGTATTTTAAATCAAAATCAGTACTTGGCGAGAGAAAACCCAAAAAGTTGACAACTAATCCAACGCTTCTTAGAAAAGATACTGTCATTGTCTATGTAGAATTCCCATCCTTTGGATTGAAACCAGGGAAGCAAAGATACTAAACCTCTTAAGAATACCAAGCTTTAGATGCGTTAAGTCTTCTAAAAAAATTGGGAAGAGTAACAACTGTATACAAAGGAATTCCCAATCACAGATAAAGCATATAATCAGGAGAACCTGCATACAAAGAAAAACAACCCAAAGTATTGGGGTAAACCCCAAGAGCTCTAGACAAAATAAACATTATAGTCACATGGTCCTAAGGAGTCAAGGCTTCTAATCCTAAGTCTGAGAGTTGCACAATCTCCATAATGCCAAGGATAGTAACCAAATAGTCCGAGTAACCTTAAGGTTTT